TGCTTTTGTTTTTGATTTTTATCCTTTCTTCAGGATACAGTGAAACAAAGAATAAGAGGACATTGTTCTGTGTCATTCTGGTTTGTCTGTCTCTTTGCCTGTCTATCCTTTCATTTTCCTTTCTTTGCTCATCTTATTTCTCCTTCTACTTCACGTGCTTGTGGTCTTAGTGAATAGTTCTGTGACAATATATATAGGAAGTTTTTCATGCCTGGCCGGGCACCCGGGCGTGACGCCTGGGGGGGTCTGACGCCCGGGCCAAATTTTTTTTTTTGCCTTTCTGCGCTTTCCCAGAGGAAGCCGAATCCGGGCTCGTTTCATTTTTTGAGAGATGGCTAATTAGGAATACCATGACCTGCTAGCCTATGTCATAACTTTGTGTTTGGTACTCAACGCATGTAACTCATGTGGATCTGACTCCGGAATATGATGCTAAGGGACGCTGGACCCGGTTTCCAGCAGGTGCAGCTCCCCACCAATGGAACGGAGCCATCCAAGGGTGGGTAGGTAAAGGGAGTGTCTGCTCTTATCAGCACCCCCTCTACCTCCAGCCGTCTTTTTAAAAAAAAAAAAAAAAAAAAAACTGCAAAGGGCCCGGCGTGACGCTTCCCAGCGGGCCCAAGGAAAATCAGTGCTGCGCAGCAGTCCCGGCGCCAGGGAAATTCCGTGTCACGCGGCAGCGAGGTGTCGATGCGGGCCCAGGGGTAAAGTGCACTGCTTCGTCTGCAGGCGGCAGCGGGAGCAAAGCGTGTGGTGGCAGGGGAAATCGTTGCCGCGGGGCAGTCCCGCCACCAGGGAAAATTGGTGCCGTGCCAAGCGCAGCGGTTTGTTTTCCGTTCCGGAGGCAGGCGCGGTGGTAGCACGGGGCCGGGGGGACGTCCCGCCGGCCGCGGGCCAGGCGCGTGATCTTTGTCACGTTGTTTGGCGAAGGAGGAGCGAGAGCGGTTTTTTTTTCGTAGTTTTCGTTTTTCTTTTTCGTAGGAGATGGCTATGGCGGGATCTTTGTCACGTTGTTTGGCGGAGGAGGCGCGGGAGGAGGAGTGGGAGGAGCGGGAGAAGGAGCGAGAGAAGAGCGAGAGGAGTGGGAGAAGGACTGGGAGAAGGAGGAAGAGCAGGGGTGGGAGAAGAAAGCGGTAGGAGGAGCGGGAGGAGGAGCGGGAGGAGGAGGAACGGGAGGTGGAGCCGGAGGAGGAGCGGGAGGTCGAGCGGGAGGAGGAGCGGGAGGTGGAGCGGGAGGTGGAGCAGGAGGGGAAACGGGGAGGGGGTTAGGAGTGGGAGAAGAAGCGGGAGGGGAAACGGGAAGGGGCGGAGGAGGCGCGGGAGGAGGAGCGGGAGAAGGAGCGGGAGTATAATCTGTACGATCTGTGTGCCTCTTCTGATGCTGCAGGTAGAGAGACATCAAATTGACCGTCCATTTTATTTTTCGCGAATGCGATGTTAGCACACGTTTTTTTTTGTTGGATTCGTTCGACAAACAGATCTGTTTCTGGAGACATAAGCAAATAACACTTTTTATTTTTTCTTGGGAGTAACAGGAGGGTGCGGGAGGAGGAGGAGCACGAGGAGGTGCGGGAGAAGGAGCGGGAGGAGGACGGGGAGGAGGAGCAGGAGAAGGAACGGCGGGAAACGGGGAGGGGGAGTTAACAAACGCACCGGAGGCGGGTAGAAAAAGTGGAAGGAGGGAAGGAAGGAGAGGGGTGAGGCGGGGGAGGGGTGCACGGGGATTCTCTCTCTCTCTCTCTCTCTCTCTCTCTCTCTCTCTCTCTCTCTCTCTCCTGCTCTCTCTCTCACTCTCTCTCTCTCTCTCTTGCGCGCGCGCGCACGCGCACACGTGCGCTCTGTGTCACACACACACACACCCAGTCGAGCAATCAATCAATCAATCAATCAATCAATTTGATTGGTTAATTGACTGATTGATTGATTTGTTTTTTGTTTTTTGGTTGGAAAAATCGCGTGGGGGGAAGGTTGACGGGATGCGCGGGAGTGGGTTTATTGATTCATTCATTCATTCATTCATTGAAGAAAGAAAGAAAAAAGATCGGCCTGTCAGCGGGTGGGGAGTCGGGGCAATGTGGGCGGGAGGAAGGAGAGGGGGAAGAGAGAGGTGGGGAGGACTGAGAGGGAGGAAGGGGCATGAGTTGCCCGTTCACACTCCTCCCGCCTCCCACTACCTCTCTCCCTCCTGCATCGCCTCCTCCTTGCTCTCTCCCTCCCCGTCCCCCCTCTCTCTTCCCCATCGCCACAGCGACGCTGCAGAGGGTCGACTTGTTTATTTAAAATGTGGTAAATAATTTTATTTTATTTTATTTTTTTTAACACCAAAGAAGCAGTAGTTTTAAAAGGCCGAGGGCCCAAGGCAGAAATACAATGTCAAGGAGCTGCAGATCCAGGGGTTCGCAAGGTCTCCAATCCCTCTTCGTGGGGTGGAGCCCCCCCTCCCCTGTAGGAAACCCACTCTCTGCCAAAAGAAAAGCTACCATAAAGAATTTCAATGTGCTTCTGGGAAGTTGTTCAGTTTATTTTTCTGCGTAAATTAGCATGGCTACGATCCGGACGTCCGGACGTCCGTCCAGATGGTCTGGATTCGGTCCGGACTCCAGACGTCCGGTTTGGAAGGTCCGGATCTGCCAAATTTCGAGAAAAAAAAAACAAAAAAACATTGAGGATCCAAGCCCCCAAATTTGTTTTGGGGGGTTTTCAGGCCCGTTTATGCTTTTTTGGGGGCTCCGGACATGTTCTCTCTCTACAATAATTTATTAGACAACCCCAATTTTTTAATTATTAATAATTTATTACCTTTTATTAGTTTTTAAAGTATTTTTTATAGCTTTTTATAGTTTTTGACTTTTAACTCAAGTTTGGTTAGGAATTCTGACATGACTCTGAGGCAAAAGTGGTTTGCATTGTTATTCTGCATAACATACTTGTTTTTCAGAATTTTTTAATTTTTTTTAATGGTCCGGACAGTTCCGGACCTGTCCAGACATCCGGACCGTCCGGACCGTCCGGATCCCTCCATGTCCGGGTCCGGGTCCGGAGTAGCCATGTAAATTAGCAGCGTAATTTTTTTTTTTTCAGATTTTTTTTTTTTTTGTTTTGGCTGGGACCTTATATAGTCCTTACACGGCCGGGCAGCCCGGGCAAACAAGGTGACCGGGACAGCCCGGCTGGCATCCTAGCATTTTTTGAAACATTTTCAGAAGTCAACCAGTGGGGAGATCAGATGGCCTGTGACAGCCCCAAGGACAGCCTCCCCCTGAGGGCATCATTCGTTAACTTTTTTATTGTCCTAATCAGATTGCAAGTCGAGCCTTACAGCGGTGAGAAATCGTTTTTCAGATTTTTTTTTTTTCAGATTTCTTTTCAGCTTTTTTTAATCAATTATTCTGAGCCCGAAAAACCGCCAAGGTGGGCGCACTGGACGTTTTGCGAGAAAAAGATGACCTCCTGTGGCCAAGCCTATCATCCAACCCTGCACATGCCTGTGGGTGCGCCTGTTAACACTCAAATGTGTCATGGGGGGCAGCGGTGGTTAAAAGTGGATGACTGAGGGCATATTCACAAAAGGACTTTCTTACTCGTTTCTGGACGGAATTGCGGTCAGATACCTCCAAGAAGGGCCATAATTGCCGTCAGATGCATGTAAGACTGTGCTACCTGGTGTGAGTATGCTGAGAATCTGATACTCTCAGAGTCTCTCAGAGTATACTCACACTAAGTAGCACATTCTTACAGCATCTGACGGCAATTGTGGCCCTTCTTGGATGTATCTGGCCGCAATTCTGTCCAGAATCTGATACTCTCAGAGTCTCTCAGAGTATTCTCACACTAGGCCCTCTAAATCACAAAATCGCAAAATGAGCGGCCAGATCAAGTCCTCCTTTTCCAAGGACTCAATCTGGCTGCTCATTGTCCGATTCTGAGATTTTCAGCGCCTAGTCTGAGTATGCCCTTACTCTGCAACTCACTGTTGGTGGGTCCCAGTGATAAATGAAGGGGTTAATAACTTAATAGGGTTATCGTGTTTTTGTCTGGCAGGGGCTACCGTCTTCCCCCAAATACAACTGTATATGGTCACTAATGACTCATTATAGCTGTATTTGGGGCACCTTTGAAGTCTCGACGATACAGCAACAATGATCGTACCATGTATTTGGCTGAAGACGGTAGATGAAGGACGAACGGAACAGAAAAGGGAAAGTGCATCCTTGAATTATGGCTGGCCAAAAAAAAAAAAAAAAAAAAAAAAAAAA